ATTATTGTCAATGTGCAATGAAATTCGCTTTGAGCAGGAATTGCTGTTTAGGCCTTCTGACTAGCATGTACGCTTTCGGACCAGCGTTCGGCTTCGCTCTTAGCGCTGGATGCACCAGTTTTTACGTTGACCTCACGGGTAACTGCTTGATTGCATAATGCTCGAACACGTATCTATGTCTTGTTGTGATTCATCTTTAGAACCGCTGGATCTGGATCAAAACAGTCCCAGCTGGATCGGCGCATGGTGGCTCGGATTCGTCATAATCGGTACACTGTACTTCGTTTTCGGTGTAACACTTTTTTTCTTTCCTTACCGTATACCGAAGCAGAAGCGAGCCATCGATGCGATGGAGATGACCGCGCTGGACAGACAGTACCATCAAGACAGTGTGAGCGCTGACGAAACGGCAGAGAACGTCAGCATCCCGGACAGTGCCTGCAAATCGGTTCTAGACATGGCCAAAGGTGAGCGATGGGCCGCAGTGCGGCGAGCGTTAGCGGTTAATGCGCTTCCATCATATCCTTCTAGAACTACCCATTGATCTGCTGCGTCTGCTGAAGAATCCGGTGTACACGAGCATGGTGTTGGGTTGGATTTTCGGTTCGTACCTCGTCGGCGGCTACGGTACCTATCTGCCGAAGTACATCGAAACGCAGTACAGTCAGACGGCATCGATGGCAAACGTTTACGCAGGTATGACGGGTCATCGCACGGTGCGTAACTGTGAGTGCACGTTAACTCTCTGAGTGACACTAGTCGTTGTTAGGCCTGATAACGATCGGCTCGGTGGCGGTTAGCACCGCGCTTGGTGGTTATTTGCTGACCAGATTTAACATACAGTCTCGTTTGGCCATCCTGCTGCTGATCATCTGTTGGATCTTCATCATGATCACATACCTGCTGGGCATGATGTCCGGCTGCGATCAGCCAAGTCTGCACGGCACGCACATAGAGTTGGGAAAGTAGTATCTTTCCTGTAGTTGTCGTTTGGCACGTTTCACCGACCGACATCTGTTTAGATGGAATTTCACGACCGAGTGCAGTGCAGAGTGCAAATGTGGGGGCGTGAAACAGTTCGATCCAGTGTGCGATGGTAACTGGACTTATTTCTCGCCTTGTTTTGCTGGCTGTTCGTATGATAAAGCGAGCAAGAACGTAAACCTTGTTTTTACGAGCATAAGTGAATGTTGTCCAATATTTGATGTTAATTTTGTTGTTGTTGCTAACAGACGTTGATACGTTGAGCAAATGTTTACATAATCTTTACATAATCAGATCACTTTTACAAGATTAACCGAATTTGCAAAGACTGGTTCCTACCTTTCCACCATTGTTCTTACTTCGATTCGGAATGTCAATCCTTATGCTGTTATGCTGAGGTTTGCGTAGCAGCAGTTGAGACTCATCTGGAGAAACATAATCCGCAATCGGGACAAAGTGGAGTATACTAGCAAAGTGACCCATCTTTATATTTCATTGAGAGCTACCCTCATCCGGATGATGATGTCTGGAAAGAGGAAGTTGCGTTTACGCGAAAGGATATAAAACTACAATATACGCAGTGGACTCCTGCTTTGCTAATTACGCCGCGATAGCGATTTAATAGAATTCGATTATATTATTTAAATTATTGGAGGTATATATAATTAACATGAAACCTCTTAATTCTATCTATGGTTGCCTTGACTGATACTTGTTCAACTTTCAAACAGATTGTGACGATTGAAACACTTCCTCCAATTCCTCCAATCTTCTCTCGGTCTGTTCTTCCCTTGCCACAGTGGTCTTTGTAATGCAGATTTAGGCAGTTTAGGGCACCAAAATAAGTTAGAAGATGATTATCAGCTGTAAAATCAGAAGAATTCTTTCGGCTGGTGCTCTTCATCTGGTACGAATTTCTCCGCACTTCAACATTACTTGTCTGAACGGCACGGTGAGTTTTCCCTTTTCCAGCAAAATGGATCAGTTCAATTAACTTTGAGTGCTTTAAAAATCAACAGGTTCTAAGTTCCTATTGCGGTCGAGTAAAAGCAGAAATTACGTCTGACATATACCAGCGAGTGAGGTAAATCCATACTTAATATTACCATAATGGCAACTTGATGACTGTCTTATAGAGGTACTTGACTGCCTCAGCTCTTAGTAAGCCCATTGCCGTGAGTGCAGTCTAAAAAATTGGTCTCCAACTAAACATTTTCATCGAATTTGGGTGCCTCAAACGATAGGGTTAAAGTGCTTTTCATAAGTGATGAGAAAATGAAATCGTGAGCGAAATTTACCAGATTTATTGCCCTGTTTTTTGCTTCTAGATGTCTGTGAAACCTTTCAGCAGACTACGACTACCTGTTATCTGAACACCTGCAGTAAGCGAATGCCATGCCGAATCACCATGTTGGGTCGAACAAATACGTACTCAGACACAAACTGAGTTGGGTCGAGCAATTTCCGCTCGAGCACCAATTGAAAATTGCTCAAATTCGCTGACATTTAAATGCATCGCTTATTGCCCCGATATTCTGGAACGACTGCTAAAAATTGCGCCGGTCGGAACAGTAACCGTCTCTTAACGGATTTGCAGGGCGTAA